AGCCAAAATTCCAATCCAGAATACAATCACATGCTGCTCCACACAATTCAAATGCTTGAAGCAATAACCTCTGACCAGCATAGCTGCTCAAATAACATCCTGGGTGCCGGCAACACACTTCTCATTGATTATAACCCTATTCCGGACCTCCACAACACTGCCCATGATAAAGAAACATGCGGAAACTCATAGCCACCCATGAAGTCAACAAGTCAAGAAACTCTCTCGCCCGCCAGGGCCATTACCCAAATCTTAGCAGAAACACCCACATGCTTCCAAACACTCCTCACCCCCAATACCATAGTACTACTCTCGTGTCTAAGAACCACATCTAGCAGCCCAACTGATAACTCATCACGGAAACACACGAATTCTCACACTACACAGCTCGTACACCAAACTAGCAATAACTCAATTATGTAACACAAATAAAGTAAAGCAAAGTAGAAGAATTATCTAACAAGTGTAACATGTGCAACAACAAAAATATAGTTTTCAGCAAATCGTTCCACAGAGGAAAAAAAACAGAACACCAAATAAACACAAGGAAAGGGTATCCCACATAACATCCGCTGCGGCGCGTAGCCCGCTCCCAAATACTCATCAAGCCAAAATGCTCGGGTTCACTGATCATATAAATACTGATATCAAGCACAACATAGTGCACCCATATAACTGTGGGAGAATGAATAGAAATAAATATAATATGAGAGAAACAGGCACATATAAGGTGCAATGAGCAAATCAACATCACTATGGCTATCTCACCCACATCGCCATAAGGCCTGAACAGAATCATAACATACGTGGGGAATAATCATACAACCTCACCGCCTAACACCACATAAAAGAGTAGCACATAACATAGGCTAAGGGCACGAATAATATCCATTCTGCCTGATAACATAACCAAAAATGACAATCTCACAGGAGCACACAAACTTGATCTGATACAAAATACATATTCTCGCTGATCTCCCAAATAGGCCCAAACCAAATCCTGATCCCTCCCACTTAGGTAAATATTCTTCAAAAATCAACAGCAACCTATCGATAATACATGCTATTAATTACCCCATTCTCAATATTCTTCACAATCCACTAACAAGAAATAGTCCACATATGGGGAAACCTAGTCCCAAAATCTCAGGAACACTAAAATTTCCATACCCGGACTCAACTACGCAAATCAAATGGCTGATACATCGCTCACCTTCCATCGTCCTGCTGAAGCACTCATATAGAATTTATGGCCGTGTAACAAAATATGAACCTCAAAAGCCTCAAAACCCAGTAATCACCATGCCCTTAGCCACGCACCCGCAAACCAAAACTCAAGGGTCTTTCCCAAAATGCACGGTCTTCACATGTGATAGCCAAAAATGCTAACACTCCATTAATTTCTGATACCTATCCCGGAGAAAACCACAATGTACAACATATTCCTTATGCCCATAGCAGAAAGCCAGCTCAAGCCCTTACCAAACCATCGAGAACCCTCCGAGATCCGCTCGTTGCAACTAAGCCATCAGGACTGCACCTCCCAACTCAACCGAGTCACACAGACCGTCCAATCCAAGAATGCTGCCACAAATGCCAGTAGAGAATTTCTATTCAAAGGGCCAAATTCTTCCATTACCATACTGACCCAACACCACGAAACAGACCCATTTCTTCGGATAGTTGATATGTGATAATCCCAATCAAGCCCCAAATATAGATGATCTTAACACATACCACATAGCCCAGAATCTCATAAGCCACCGCATTACCTCTGAAGCACCCCGTTCTGCAGCAACTACGATACCCACACTGAATAGACCTTCTGTGAATCTGAAATTGTTTTTCCCACTCCCCTTGATGCTGAAATGTGAATTCATTAATGACGCAGAAACACCGTAAGCCCCAACATCATCCCGTGCAAGATCTCAGACCTTAGTCATACACAAAATCTGGGAACCTACCAATGCCACATACACGCATACCTCAGGCCAACACTGATGTAAATTTGACTCTGCAATCTGGATGCTGCTAATGGACTCCTCCACTTGGCACGAAGCCATAGAAAACAACATCTGATGATCCGCAAAACTAACCTTCACAGCTCGTACAACAAAATCACAAGGTACTCCAATGCCACCAACTATCCTCAATCAACATCCACCTCGTGACCCCGCCACAATCTCGACGACTAATCAACCAATTAAACCTTCTCAAGCTCGCATTCATCAACCTGATGTCGGGAACCGCTGCGCCTCCACATGAACAACTGAATAGTCTCTCAATATCTCTATATCTTCAGTCTGGACAACACGTTGAGACAATGTCTAAGCATCCCTGACTCCTTCGTAGCCTGTCTGTAGCATCACGAACCACTGGCGCATAGCGGACATTGAGAGCTTAATATCATACAGGAGTGGATGCAAAGGAACGTAAGTTATATACTTCGGGTTGAAACAATATCGCACGATAAGGAATAAAAGAAGTGGAATTTCTGTAACCTCTCGAAGATAAGTACAGACGTCTCCGTACCGATCCGCAAGACTCTACTGAACCTGCTTATGACTCGTAGCACCTATGAACCTAGAGCTCTGATACCAACTTGTCACGACCCAAAATCCCTCCGAAGGAGTCGTGATGGCACCTAGTCTCTAAACTAGGTAAGCCTAACATTAATTAAAATAACATTTATATTTGCTAACTTTAATTTAAATAACTCTTAAAATATTAAAATTTCCATAACCGGTGGTACCGGTCATAAGCCTTTCTAGGAGTAGTTATACAAAATAATTACATCACTGTCCCGAAACAAAAGGAACAAATGGAAATAAGTACAAGTGAAGGAGACTCCGAGGCCTGCGAACGCTGCAGCAGGTTTACCTTGAGTCTCCACCGCAACGACCCGCACAGCTACTACCGATCAAATACCTAGATCTGTACACAAAAATGTACAGAAGTGTAGTATGAGCACACCACAGTGGTACCCAGTAAGTATCAAGACTAACCTCGTTTGGGGTAGTGACGAGGAACAGTCAAGACACCTATTGGTCAAACAGATTAAACAGGATATGATAACAAATACTCCCTCCGTTTCATATTATTTGAGGTAGTTTGATTCGACACGGAGTTTAAGAAAAAAAGAAGACTTTTAAAACTTGTGGTCTTAAAAGCTTAAGGGGTAAAAGGTTCGTGGGGCCATGCCATTTGTGTGGCTATAAAAGCTTCTCATTAAGGGCAAAAAGGATAAAATAAAGAGTTTAAAGTTGAATTATTTCCAAATTTAGAAATGTGTCATTTGTTTTGGAACAGTCTAAAAAGGAAAGTACCTCATTTAATATGAAACGGAGGGAGTATCAAGATAGAGGTAACGAAGTAATATCAATTAAGGAAAATAAGGGCCAAGTAACAAGTAAGAGTTGGAGGCAGGCTAACAACATCGTATGGAGCATATAGAGGTAATTTAAGCAATTAGAAAACTCAATCATAACAAAATACTTCCCACATAATGAACATAAGGACCTAAGAACCCTAAAGGAAAATTCCCACAAGTAAGTCCGAGCACACACTCGTCACCTCGCGTGCACGGACTGCAAATAGCATAGAAGACTCAACTCCTAAGGGGAAGTCCCCCACACAAGGTTAGGCAAGATACTTACCTCAATCCGGTCAATTCAATACTCAATTTAGCCTTTCCTTTACCAATTCATCAATGCCCGGCTCAATCTAGCCAAAGCCGACTTGAATACATCAACCAATGCAAAAGAAAACAATTTCAATTAACAAAACTACAATTCTTATACAATTTGCAAAAAGTCAACAAAAGTCAACTCCCCGGGCCCGCACCTCGGAATCCGACAAAATTTACAAAAATTGAACACTCATTCCGCTACGAGTTCACCCATACAAAATTTATGAAATTCCGATACCATTTGGTCATTTAAATCGTCATTTTACATTTTTGAAAGATTTCCTAATTTTCCCCAAACTTTCCTTTAGATTCTCATGAATTTGATGTTAAATCTAAGATATAATCATAAAATATAGTTAGAAATTGATTGGAGGCACTTACCCAATGATTTGGTATGAAAATCTTCTCTCAAAAATCGCCTAATCTCGGACCTAGGGTTCAAAACATGGAAAAAATGAAGCTAAGTCCCGAAATGGGAGTCTTATTACCAGCCTCGGATGTCGCATTCGCGACATCAGGATCGCAAATGCGATCTTGCAAATGCGACACAAGTGTCGCAAATGCGAAGGCTAGCCAGCTCTGATGATGTCGCAAATGCGACTCAAGTCTCGCAAATGCGGGTTCTGAAATGTTCGCAAAAGCGACAATTTTATCGCAAATGCAGAGCTGCTGATCGCAAATGCGATGAATTTGTTCGCAATTGCAAACTCCCCAGCCCCCAGCCCAGCGTCGCAAATGCGAGAAGAATCTCGCAATTGCGGTCATCGCAAATGCGATAAACTCCTCGCAAATGCGAGAACAGACAGCAGAAACCATAAGTTTTCTTCCAAACACTCCGAAACGTTTCCAAAACTCATCCGAGCCCTCGGGGCTCCAAACCAAACACCAACACAAGTCTAAATACATAACACAAACTTGCTTGCACGAGCGGAATACCAAAATAACCTCTAGAACCACGAATCGGATGCCAAAACGCATGAAAACCACTATGAACTTCATGAACTTCTAGAATTGCAACCAAGCGTCCAAACCAGTGTTGTCAAAGGCGAAAAGCGCAAAAAAGAGACAAGGGCCATTGGGGCTTAAAGCGCAAAGCGCACTCAAAGCGCGGGCTTTAGTGCAGAAAAGCGCAATATAACAAATAGTATAAAATATATTTACAGATCACGTAATAAAAACATAAGTGACAAATATATTCAAAATTTGAGCAATGTAATATTATTTTTATCAATGTAGCAAAATTATGGTGAAAAATATGATAAACTATCAACTAAACAAAACCAACTATTCTACTTCTAAAGTCTAATCACTACTATGCATCTAAATTGTCATCTTCTTCTTCAATAGGATTACTCTTATTGGTATCGCTAGAATTATAGCCTTCAATATCTTCTTCCTCTGATTCCTTAGACTCAACATCATCTATATCTATATTAATACGTCGAACTTGAGAGCTTGAAGAACCGGTTGCCAAAGTTTTTGATGGTCTCCTTTGTCTCATTGAGTATGAGTATGTTTGTGCATCTTCACTTCCTGATGCTCTAGCCACATCGCCCCAAGTTAAGTCATCATCTCCCCCAAACACCAATTCATTTTCCGCTTCAAAATTTACCCCCATTTCTCCAACCAACCACTCATTACTATGATCAATATGATCCAATGAGATTGGATCAATGATATTCCGCAAGTCAAAGCGAGTTTTTAGAGCACGATTATACTTGACATACACTAGATCATTCAATCTTTTATGCTCTAATCTATTCCTCTTCTTGCTATGGATCTGCACATGAATTATTTTATCTCATTGTTAGTAAAATTGTAAGTTTGTATTAATTAACCAAATAAATTAAAATAGCAAATAGTTATATGTAACTAATGTCTAATAAAAACTCACATGTTCAAACACACTCCAATTACGCTCGCAACCAGCTAAGCTAGCGGTTAAGCTCAAGATTCTAATGGCTAATTTTTGGAGATGAGGGGCTGAATTTCCATATAGATTCCACCATTCAGCTGAAAAAGATATAACTTAGTGGTAAGTAAATATTGAACGTGAAGCCTTGAAGTGTTAATTGTAAACATTGAATTTTCATATACCTGGAGATCTCGTTGCTCTTGATCTTTTTGCCATGGGAAGTCCAAATTGTCCCTCAGCTCTTGTATATAATGGTAACTCAGATACAATTTTATCTTGAACTTCAATACTTGGAACCAGTTTCTGAATACAAGCATATAGTCCATTCGTTACTTCTCTATAATTCTCAACGGCTGGATCTTGATAGAAATACTCGGGATTCAAAAAATGTCCAGCGGCATGTAATGGTTGATGCAATTGGCATTCCCATCTTTGATCAATGATCTCAAAAATATCTTTGCACTTCACAGACTTCCATTCAAATAATTTTGCGATGGCTTCTTTAGCTCTATCCATAGCTTCATAAGTATATCCCATAGCCGGCTTTTTCTCATTGTCAACTAATCTTAAGACTTTAAAAAGAGGTCCCATTATCTTCAGTATATAAACAACTTGATTCCAAAATGCAGGCATCAATATAGTATGAGTTGTAACTTTTCCCTGTGGTTTTTTTGACCATTTACTATTCACCCAATGCTCAGATGTAATCATGGTTCGCAAATTAGTCTTTTGATTATACAACCTCTGCAAAGTTAGAAAACTCGTAGCAAATCGAGTAATTCCACATTTCACCAATGCTTTTTTCTTTGTGAAGTCTCTCATCATATTAATGACTCCTGTATGACCATAGATGAAACCAACAACTGCAATTGCTCTTTTGAGGGTTCTCGTAATAGTTGGAAGCTTGCCTATGTCTTCTAAAATAAGATCTATACAATGAGCGGCACAAGGCGTCCAGTATATGTGTTTTCTCTTTGTTTGTAGGAGTTGGCCTAAAATAAAAAGAAAATACTTAAATATATATTATACTATAATATATGAGAGATCAAAACTTGAGCATTCTTCAAGTAAATACTTACCGGCCAATATAAAGTTGCTGCCATTATCACTTACAACTTGAACTACGTTTTGCTCTCCAACACGCTCCACATATCTATCAAGTAGCTCACATAGTTTCTCTCCAGTTTTGACAAATGAAGATGCATCAATGGACTCCATAAACACTGTACCACATGGAGAATTCACCAAAAAGTTTATTAATGTTCTTTGCTTCCTATCAGTCCATCCATCTGCCATAATGGAACATCCATGCTTTACCCATTCTTCTCTATGTCGATTTAAAAGTTCATTAGTCAACTCTACCTCCTTATTTAGTAATGGAATCCTTAATTCATGATAACTGGGAGGCTTCAAATTTGGTCCATACCTTCCAATAGCATCAATTGCCTCCTTAAAGCTTTTCAGACGAGCAACATTGAATGGTATGCCTGCATCGTAAAAGAAACGAGCAACTTTTTGAATAACCATTCATATGAATCTTTGATACCCGTCTGCCTAAGTTGCCCTTGACTTTGCAAATATACATCCATAGGGCCTTTTCCTTTACCCTTAGCTAATTTCTTATTAAGGCCACCAGGAAGGCTTCCCCCACCACCTTTTCTTTTAGGAATGATTTCCTGAATTTCATCCTCTTCACCAACATCTTGATGATCAAACTCATCATGTTCAGGATACTCTCTAGCATAAATATCTTTCCTTACTTTCTTTTCCTCCATGTAAGCTTTCAATTCTTCTCGAACTTCATGAGGACATTTGGTACACTTTGTTGTATTTCTGAAATTCCCAACTAGATGTTGTTTTGCCCGATTTATTCCACCTGTAGTTGTTTTCCCGCAAAAATTACAAGTAACTCTCGTGGTATCATTAGGATCGATCAAGTGATTATATTTCCAACCGGGATCTTTTCGATTACCACGAGATAAATCCTCTGCCATTTTGTTTCTAATATAAATCAATGATGTAAAGTTAAGTTAATTGTTATAGCATAATCGGCTTTGGAAACATGCTAATTATATTTTCTATGGAAATATGCTAATTATATTTTCTATAGTAAACAATTGTTTCAATCTATTCTGTAAATTGTAATTATATTTTCTATAGTAAACAGTTGTTTCAATCTATTCTGTAAATTGCAATTTATAATTTGTACTTTGTACTTTTTTTTTAAATATGTATGTTTCCTTAAAATATTCTTTAATGTACAATTCGTATATGTCTAAAGCAAAGAGAAAAGAAACTTTAATGTAAATCATGATAATAAGCAGTAAAGTAGATAGCAATGCAAGTAGTCAAGTATTTATTACTCTGACAACTTTTATATACCCAATGTTGTCTCCCACTAAGTCATTAAGTTGAATATTTAAAGAGAAGATGACATATACACTACATTATTCAATTATGATAAAAGCACAAGTAGGGCATGTAATCATTACAAAACCTTTGCCAATACTATTAAAACAAAAGTGATCTATTTAAAGAATAATAAAATATTACATGCTTTAGAATTCAGATAAAGTGTACTTCATCTCTTAAACAGAGAGTCTGAGACAGAAACATAGAGCACAAATCTTTCAAACAAAGTTTCTGATTCTCTGAATTTAGCTAAGATTTTTTGATTTGCCAAAAGAAAAGGAAAAGACAGAGAAGGAGGAAGAAGAAGAAAGAAGCATAAAAAGAAGAGAAGAAGAAACGTACTAGTAAAACTTGAATAAAGATTCTTCTCAGTTCTTGCGTTTTTTCTAGTAGATTGCATCTCTATTTATAAGACATTGGTTTTCCTTTTCTTTGGGGATTGGGTTTTGATTTCTGATTTCTCTTCCTTTTTTTTAAAGATTCTGATTTTCCTCTTCCTATTTATAATCTTTTTGGGTTGGGTTTTGATTTAGTTTCCTTTTTAAATTAGAATTCTGATTCTCTATTCTAAGAAAGTTACCAATTTTTAATATTTTTAAAATCTTGGAAAGAGCCCACGCTTCAAGAGCCTTGAGCTTTTCCCGAAAATGCGCTTAAGCGGCGCTTCACTACTTGGGCTTCGCTTGAGGTGTGGCGAAGCGGCAAACTGATTTGGAGCCTCGCTTGTACGCTTAAGCGCGCCTGAGGCGCGCCTTTGACAACACTGATCCGAACCATACCAAATCAACTCCAAACAACACCAAATTTTGCAGGCAAGTCCCAAATGACATAACAGAGCTGTTTCAACTTTCGAAATCGTATTCTGACCTCGATAACACAAAAGCCAACTATGGGTCAAACCTCTCAATTTTCCAAACTTCAACTTTTCCAACTTTCGCCGAAATGCCTCAAATCACCCTACGGGCCTCCAAATCCAAATCCGAATGCACGCCTAAGTCCAATATCATCATATGAAGCTAGTGAGATCATCCAAAACTCATTCCGGAGCCATTTACTCAATATTCGAATTCCGGTCAAATTCCCACCGCTTAAGCTTCCAAAACTAGACTCCTTCTTCCAATTCGACTGCGATTCATCCGGAAACAGATTCCAACCATGCACGCAAGTCAATACACGTAATATGAAGCTGCTCGTTACCTCAAACTGCTGAACCGGACGCATTTGCTCAAAACGACCAGCCAGGTCGTTACAGGGAGTATGTAAACCATTAAAATTAAACTGTTCTTTACAAACACAATTTGTTTTTCAGTTTAAGGTTCACGTTATGGCTTCAATTTAAGGATATTTGAAGTTATTTCTGCAGAAATAAAGTATTCAAGTTATTTTCACTCTGACTTGTTTTTCAGTTGGACCAATTGAAAATAGGCATGCTTGGATCACATTGCATGTAATTTTCATGCTACCCATCCATACTTGATCTATGTCATTTGGTTATGTTGGTATTCGTGATCAAGGAAGGTTTAGTTATGATAAATGTAATGAAAGCCGTCTTGGTTCAATATTGGCATGATTGATGGATGAGATTGTTTAGAGGGACTTTGGTTTATGATAGCAAATATTTTGAGCTCATAAGGTGACATAAAATTATAGAGTTATATGTGTAGTCCAAGTGGGAGATTGTTAGAACTTTTTATGGACTTGCACATATATGGTATTATGAATAATTGTATGTTTGTTCCTATCAATAAAAGGTTGACCCAAATTAAAAGTGATCTGCTAAGATTTTAAAGTTAAATGGGTCTATTAGATACCTTGTAAAGTATGGGGTCTTACGTATAGATATCCGGATGTAGTTTCTAATTTAATGATGGGCTAAATTAGAAATACATAAACTTGTGCACCTATTAATAGTGTTACGTAGGGTTTTCTTTCTACCATCCCATCGTTGGAAAGAAGAGAACGGCTTACGTCTTGGTTTGGAAGACTACCAACCACAAAGACGATAAGTTTTACTGGTTCCCATGAATTCAGGTACGCTTACGTAATTAATTTTTATTTTCGATGATTTGGTATGATAGTTCTTGAGTAAAAGACGATGGATTTCATCTGTAAAGAATTTTGGTTCTAACTGATGCATTATAATAAGCAGCGAAAGCAATCCCAGTATCAAAATCACATGTAATCTAGACAACTAGTGTATACGGGGTTTCACGGGTTACCTCTTGAAGTGTGAACATATCTCTTCTATCACATGAGCCTTCAGTTCCATAACTTTTCAATGGAATCTCCATCACCTGCACAATCGTGATCCTCGAACGTTCCACGGTCTTCTACTGTGTTACCCAAATAATACCCAAAAATAGCAATGTCGTGTGGGCGAAATTTCTAGGAAAATATGGCTGAAAAGTTCGGCCACCATCACACATTCCTCTAGGTGAAAACCCTTATGTATTTATAGCACATGTTTTAAGGGTTAAAACCCTTTTCCAAAACCTGTTAGGTTTTTCTTTCCACCTGAAAAAGAATTCCTTTATTTCTATTATTTAGGCACAACAGGGACCACAGAATTTAATTAAAAAGGCTTCCAATTTTGGAATTAATTTCTAATTTTCAAAATTAATATCCACCATAATTAATTATGAATTATTCCACTAAAAATTCGTAATCGCACTCCTTATTCAATTTCGAAATTCATCCATTAAATCTTATTTAACTCCCCATGTTAAGATTCAAATACTAATCAATTAAATTAGATTACTGACGCTTTTTATTAATTATTTCCTTTAGACTTTCGCTTAACTTATTTCATGTGTCGGATACAAAATCCACCGGCTGGTTTGCACATGAAAACTTATAAGCTTTCATAAAGGTGTATCATCAATCTCTAAACTGAGATATGGATTCCATCAACTAACTATTACTTCGCTAATGTACATTATTATTATCCAATTTACCAGACATATTGACCCATGAAAGAATCTCGCCTTTTAATAAATTAAAACAATAATAATGTACACAGCTAATAATAATTATATCAAGATTAAGAGTATAAGTACATTTAATGGCTAGAGAGTTTATTTTATTAAGTCAGTATAAAATACTTATCTCTACTTGGTCCGTTCAATACTTACAAAATGTACTAGCACAAGAAGTTGGAATTAAACCATTTCCATAATCAAGATAAATTATATTTAATCTTGTGCTACAATCATCCATGATGGTTTGTCCAATTCCATCATTAGATTGTGAACTCAAACTTTATACTTATAAAAACGATGATTTAATCTTTCGTGTATAAGCTAAACTCTATACACTAAATCATCTACTATATAAGCAAAGGACACAGACTAATATATGATCTATTTAAAACTTTATTAAAATTGAATAAACAATTATTCCATAATAAATACTATATCTAAACCAAACCCATGGCTAATAGTATATATCCCAACAATCTCCCACTTAGACTTTTAACCATGACAATTATTAGAATATACTATATCCAAATACATGGTTAATAGTATATGCCCCAACAATCTCCCACTTAGACTCATAACCATGCATCTACAACTTTCTCATGCATTCTTTTACATGACTATCTTCACCAAATAAGGCTTTGTTAAAGAATCTTGCCAAGTTATTTATGATGTAATATTTGTCCAGTAGTGCTTTGTCGTAACCATCTAGTCTGGTATTAAACTCTTCAGGGATCCTGTTACTGAAACTATCCCAAGAGTGTACACCGAACTATGATTTTCTTTAGCATTCTCCCACTACGACGAAGTACTACTAATATTACATTCATTACCTTACGGCATTGAATTATTAGTGACTTCTTACTACAGTGTTCACTGTTCAAACATCACTCCCACTTGATAAAGGCATATTATGTCTATTAACGTTCTCCCACTACTTAAATGCAATGGAACGTCAATTCCGACTTGTGGGTTTTGATGTTCTTGAACGTCAATTGCCTTATTTTCTTTAGGACAATGAAATAAAACTCCATTCGTTTTCTTGGATATTCAATAAACATGCACCTATCCATTCTTAGTTCCAACTTACATATCCGCTTTCCCTTTCAGCACATATGCAGGACAATCCTATATCTGAACATGCCACGGACTGAGTTCACATTCAGTCCACAGTTTTATAGATATCCCATGTACTAACTTAGAAGGAACTAAATTCAGAATGTATTTTGCAGTTTCTAGGAAATATTCCAAAAACAAATAAGGCAATCTGAATAACACGTCATTAATCTATCCATGTCCAAAAGAGACTTATTTCTTCTTTCTACCACACCACTCTATTATGGAGTTAACGGTGTAGTTAATTGAGATGTAATACCTTATTCTGATAGGTAACAAAAGAACTCTTTAGAGAGGTGCTCGCTACTACAATCAAATTGCAGTAACTTAATATATTTTCTTGGTGCTTCTCTGTTTCAAGTCTTAAAAACTTTGAATTGCTTAAATAATTAAGACTTACCATGCATCAAATAAATATATTAATATTTTGAGTAATCATTTATGAACGTCACAAAATACTCAAAACTATCTCTTACGAGTATGTTCATTTA